GTGATGATTTCAAGATAGCATGGAGTGTATGAATCAACCGACGTTGAATCGTAATGGAAGAAACAACTCAAAAAATGGCAAAAAATAAAGACGATGAAGCGACCCGACAAAGAAAGCGTTGAAAATATATGAAGATAGGAAAAACAACAATGTGGATAAGAACCGACACGGAGATCATTGTTAGAATCTTTTATGAAGGATACCACATGAGAAAAGGGTCATCGATGGTCATAAGTAAAGCAGGGTCGAAATGTGTGAAGAGTAATGAGTAATTGTGTGTAATTTAGAGATTTATTAGTCGAGCAACATAATGTAAATGAAGTTTATTATTGAAAGAATGAAATTATGTTTTTCAAAAGTTATCCAAGCCTATTAGGTATTTATAATTCATATCCAAACTCAGTGGCGGAATATAGTGGGACATGTGGGGATCATGGCTCCCTGAAAATTTTAATTTTAGACCCTTAAAACTTGAAATAAAAATTAATTTCCCCCCACAAAATTTTAGAAATTCATATTAAGCTTTAAATTTTTTTAATGTTATGAGTTAAATCCTCCCAAAATTTTTAAAAATTCTCATTAAGCCTCTTAAATTTTCAAAAATTTTAGTTAGAACCCAATTTTTTTGAAAAAAAAATTGTAAACTAAACTCTTCAAATTTTTCCTAAACTCTATCACCAAGTTTCATCACTGTCCAAACTAATCACAAATAGTCCAACAAATTATGTTTTAACCAACTAACAACCTAATAACAAACTAACCATTGATTAACTACTATTTACATCTTATTTATTGCACACATTCTTTTTCACTGGACTAGCTTAAATTCTCTTAATTCAAATCTTCATCTTCCAGCAATATGGTCCAATTGTTCTAGGTTTAAACTCCTTCCTATGGGGATCTTGGAAAGAGACTTACGATTACTAAATCTTAAATAGGGTAAACTATATAATTGATCACTTTCGTTTAAGTTTTATATATTTTTCTTCACTAAATTCAAAAAACATAATAGTTGACCACTTTCATTTTTATTTAATTAAGTTGTGTTCATGTTCGTTTGTATTTAATTAAGATGTGATCACTTACCTTATCGACTTTTAAATGTTTAGTCATTGAAATTGTTATTGTCATTAGTAAGGAAAAGTGAAGAAATTAAATAAAAGTGATACAATAAAAACGAAAATGATCAAATATCATGTTTTTGAATTTTGTAAGGAAAAATGTACAAAACTAAAATGAAAATGATCAATCATATAATTTACCCTTTTTAAATAATTAGAAATCTTGAAAGCTGTGGCCTTCCCATAGTTATCGGTTTCATAGTATCATGTTGATTTTAGTGCTTTCTGGAAATTGAAATCAAGTAGAGGGAATTAAATTATTAAATTTGAAAATTAAAAAATAAGAAAAACTCAATTTAATTGATATTTAAATTAAAAAACTTAAAATATTATTAAATTAAATTTTTCCAAAGTGTCCATATTGTTTTTTTTTTGCCCTCCCGGTTCCAAAGCTTCGCATTAACTAATTCAGACCGACTCGCGTCGTACACTTAATTTTGATAAATGAATCTTCCAATAAGAATTTTTTATATACACAGACTCGAACTTATAATCTTACTTAAATAATATAAAACTACTTACAACTTAAATTAATACTTATTAATTAAAAGTGGCCATATTTGACTTCACCAATAAACATTAAACACCCCAAACAAAAGCTTTTTTTTTTAAAAAAAAATAGTTATAAAGTTGGAGTAAAAGCCTAAATTGTACACTTTTTCTAATTTTTAGTATCTAACCTTTCTTTGGTCCCATTTTAGTACCTGAAGTATTGACTATTTTTTTGACATAAGTATGTACTATTGATTTATCGTGAAAACTTAAAAATAATTTAAATATAATAATGATTTTTTATTAAATAACTAATGATTTTAAAATACTTAAATTGAAATTATAACCCATATTTGCATAAGCATTGATCGACTTTGAAAACATTCATTAACTCTTAATCTTCTCAAGATCTATCATTATCTTCCCACCTTCACAAACCAAACTCTTCAAGGTCTTAAGGTATGAGACCTAAACAAATTCGACCTGAATCTCATAATAGTTTGTAGAAACAAAATATAAATTACTTTTATAATCTATTTCGGAAATACGCTTTGCATGAAATTGAAGTTACATTTGAGGTCACATACAAATAAATATGACATGATTGAATTTAACCGCGACACTCTTTACATAGGTGGATTTATTTTTAACATAAGTTAATTTTTGACTACAATATATAAGTATACTTTAGATACCAATGTAACAGAAACATTTCAGTACCAAAATATTAAAAATGGTATATACTTTAAGGCTAAACCCTGAGTTAAGCCATATGTTTTCGCTTTCTCTACTCTGGAAATGATTGATTGTATATATAAACATTATCCCCTTCCTGCGAGTATGCCTTTTACCCCAAATTCATACTTTTTACATTTAAATTTTAATATTTTTTTTGGTGTAACTCTCCGTTTAAACTTATTATTTGGATCGATCCATATCGCACACCTAAATTTTGGTAGGTGAGTCTCCTAATAATATTTTTTTACATACACATGACTCGAATTGGAGACCGTACTTAATCAATCAGGTGCTTACCACTTAAACAATTTGTGTTAGTAATTTCTCTTTATTTTTATTCTATTCACATGTACAACAACTCTGTTATTATAAATTTATAAATTTGAATAGATTTTTTTTTTATTATTGAATAATAAAAATATTATAAATCATGTAAAAATTATTATTATCATTAAGAATATATTTTCAAATATTTTAATTATATTTCAAATAATCTGAAAGTGAATTTAAATTAAAAAAATTCAGAACGTGACAATATATTTACTTCTCCCTTGAGATTTTGACAAAGCTTTCGATTCCATATTTACAATAGTATTTTTTTATTCTCCTTCGAATTTTTAAGATTTTGTCTATTAATTTAGATTGATTCGGATATCACATCTGATTTTTATATGTGAGTCTCTTAGTGAGAATTTTCTACATACGTAATGATTCGAACTTAAAACCTACTTTATGATATTAAAGTTTTTGCCATTTGAACTAATCCCATTGTTATCTTTACAATAATATTTAATGTTATTGTTTTTTATTAAAGCAAAGCAAATAGATCTCTATTTCGTTTTCCCCTGTTACTTGTTAGTGGCAGTTGACATGCTCATCAAACTTATTTACACATACATAACATGCAATAAATGTGATTTCTATTTATACACTGTAAAATGCACTTGTTATGTGAATATTCTTAACTTTGTCATTTGTTATTTTATCAATCAATAATTAATTTAATAAGATAAAATATTATATTTTAAAAAAATAAAATTTAAGGTTTAAATCTTGAATTTATGAATAAAATAAATTGAACCGATAATGACAATTTCATAGAAAAGGTTAAAACTCAATCAAAAAACTCGAACAAAAATAGATAAGAACAATTTGATTGCATCAACAAACAAAACAAAAAATGAGATTAGACTATCGAAAGACCATCGAGAACAATAAATCAGAGCTAAGCGTCATGAGAAACTATCCACAACGCAAAATCGCGTATTCAAATTCAATTTGAGGGTCCATAGCAAAGAAGATCAACAAGATTACAAATAAGCGTCGTATTGATTAATCGTAGCATCGTCAAATTCAAAACTGAGAAAACATAAAAAAGGGGCCAAATGATCGAGAAAAATACAAAAAACGTGCCACAAAGACAGAGAAAAATGTGTCATAAATACATAATTATTGTTATTAAAAAAACTAAAAAAGAAATAAAGAGAAAAGAAAACTGATAGTGAACAATCAACATCAAAATTAATGTCATAATTAATTAAACAAAATCAAAAAAGAAAAAATTAACCCGATTTATAGATAAAGAGTTGAATTCAACTATTTAAAAACAAATCACAATTTTTACCATCAAAATAACCTATTCAACACAATTTTTTTTCTTGTAACAGTTTCACACCCATACAATGGATAAACAGCCTTGTTTGTCGTTTTTTTTCAACTTTTAGTTTGTCTTTGGAGTAAATCCATCAACTAAGTTGTTATGCCATGCTATTTTATAGGAACTTCTCTATTAACAAGAGTCCAATTTAATAGTTAAATTTAGTGAAATAATTTAAGGTAAAGTACAAAAATGATCTCCAATTATATGGTGATATTTTATCGAGTTCATTGACTATTAAAAGTTACAAAATGATCAATTAATTATAGGGTATTATTTAGTTGAGTCCCCCGACTATTAAAAGTTACAAAATGGTCACCGATATTCTAAACTCGTCATTTTTTAAAAAATTGACAACAGTTTGAATTGGACGTTAATCTGCTTACTGTGATATGATAAAATTTGATCTTAAAATCTCAAAGGACTATCATATCTCAGTAACATCTAGCTCAGACTGTCATTAATTTTTTAACGAAAAGGGACTAGTTTAGAACATATAAATAGCCAAGTGATTATTCAGTAACCTTTAATAGTCGATGGACTCAATAAAATAATATCCTATAATTATAGGACTATTTTATAACTTTTAATAATTGGAGACTTAACAAATAACATTTTATAATTGAGAGATTTTTATGTAATTGTTTTTAGTAAAAATAACTTCATCGTTATGAACCATACATTATAAAAATGAAAAAAACAGCAACATCGTAATGAAACAAATAACATCGCTTTTATCTCTTATTTAATTATAAGTTATATATATAAAAAAAAGATTAATAAAGAAATGTGTGCAATCTCCACTTTCCTCTGAAACCAAACTCCTCTACCCACGCGTCTTCTACTTTCCTGTCTCCCCTGCTTTAAAACATCTTCATCTTCATGTAATTGCTCCTTTTTAATTTGATTCTCATTTCCTTCGTCCCCAAGAAACTAACTCGACAAAAAAAAAACCCATTGTTTGTTTTGGGTGTTTTCTTTCTTCTTCTACCATGCATTTCCCATGGAAGAAAAGAAAAGTAACTCGTATCTCACGGCTGGTTGCCGGCCTCCTCCTTTCCCCCAAACGCGGCGGATCCCTTGTGGTGGAGACTGGGTTTCCGACCTCCCTCGTTGATCTTTTCGTCAAGAACCGTGATCGCTTCCGGAAATCCTCTAAAACGAAATCCAGTTCGATTTCCACCCATCCACTCCCTCTGTCTCCCCCGTCTCCCTGCAATGAAACCCTACAATCTCCTGACATGGATGTGGTGAAACAGTATCTATTACCAGAAGAAAACGATGATGAGAGGATTCCCTTCCATGTGGTGCTTAAAGTTTCTTTAATGGTGGCTCTCGCTGTTAGTACCAGAAGCCTTGCGATTTGGATCATGCTGGCTGCACTCTTACTTGTGATAATTGAGTTTTCTAAGACCCTTTTCTTCTATCCTACGATTCGAATGGGTTTGAAATCAAGAACAGATGAATTGGTTGCTAAACAACGAGGAACTGAGTTGCCTGATCCTTGTGAGTTGGTAGTTGAGTTGAAAAAGGAAACGGAAGCCATAACATGTAAGAGTGAGCGTAGTCGGAGTTCAAGAATCAAAACCAGTTTAATCAAGAAATTTGTTCCTAAGAAGTTTCGCCATGGAAAGAGGAAGAAGCAAGGGAAGAGTAACAACAAGGGTAAAGAACCAAGTAGTTAATTGGAAAAGGAAAAGCAAGAGCAAGAACATGGTGTTCATGATGAAGAAGATGAATCAGGAACTGAGAATGTTAGAAAGGGGAATTCAGGGTATGCGATGATTCTGCTTGTGATTATTCTTGCTGGACTCATAGGAGGGAGGGGCGTTACACTTTTCCTAACTCTTGTATGCTGCTTCATACTGATATATATTGGAACTTGCATACAAAAAAACGACAGTGATTTAAATAGCGATCACAAAACATGATCGTAATCGGAATGTCATTTTTGTCTTGTTTGTAGCTTTTGAGGTGGTTGAGTGTGGAGATTTAGCTTCTGGTTGAATCTGCCTGCTGGCGAAGTTATGATATAGGCAAGGGAAGCTGAGTTTGTTGTAATTTCAACTGTAAATTTATATATACAAATCAGGGTTAGTTCAAGTGTTACATTGCAATTTGCTTTGAATTTGGGCAGCATTCATGCTACGTTTGATTGGGAAAGGAAAGTTAAACCAAGTATGAGAAACTCCTTACAAGATTCATGAGACTCATCTGACGCAGTTCACATTCTAGTCTCGGAGGAGGACAAACTAAGGATTAGATATTTTGAATTGTAAAGTATTTGGGGGGGGGGGGGGGGGGGGGGAGGGGGGAATGTGGATTACAAGCATTAATCGTAGAAGCCTAACGATAAACTTGAATTGATATACTTCGGGCACAGATCCAAAAATATTTTTTAAGATGGACACATATATATTAATAATAAAAAAATTCATATGGAGTGAACATAAATAATATTTAAGGATGATCACTATTAGTAAAATGAATAACTAACATAAAGAAATTCGAATTTCAGGCAAAACATACATACGACACTGGCACGATGTATCTTTGTGGGAACCCTAGTTTTTCTTTCCATTAGAATATGGACACTAAAATTCTGAGCATCTCAAGCTACGCTAAAAAAATTAACGATGATGTTGTCGTATTATTATAAAATAATGCAATATTATCATTGAAAAATATATCACATTAGCAATTCAATTTATTTTTAAATGATGGGTGACCAAAACGTTAGGTTTGTTTTTGAAGAAAAATAGTAATTGAGTGACTAAAATAGAACCACTTGAAATGGTTTAAAGAAGGCGATCAAAATACAAGATTTTTTCATCTTTGTGCTTCGAACAGAAGAATAATTAATTTGCTAAAATCGTTGTGCTACAATGGTTATTCTACCTCGGAGTCGAGTCAAATCATGTCGTGTGTGCAGGAGTTTTTCTTCTCATCTTATAATACTCGGACTACTCTTGAATTAGAGGACATTAAACTTAATTTTCAGAAAATCTACCAAGATCAATTGTCCCTTCTTGAAAGTCGGCTCTCGAAAAAGGAGGTTTGAGAGGCCATCTTATCCACTGATAGTAACAAAGCTTCGGGGCTGGATGGTTTTAATGTAATACCCCAAATTTTGTATATTGAGCAAAATATAAATTTTGAAAGTTTAGTGGCCAAAGTATAAACTTTAGAAAAGTTTAAGGGCCAAAGTGTAATTTTAAAAAGTTATGTAATCCGGCCCCGTAAATGAATAGTTTATCCCCAAGAGTGACACATCCGTGGGAATTATATTTTCTATTAAAATCTATAAAACGATAAAGTTCGAGAAAAATCCTGTTAATTGGATCGAATCGAATTTTCAGGAAATTTTAAAGGATGATGAAGCAAGGTTAAAAATGTCATTTCCATGATTTGTAGGATTTAATATAAACCGTTAGATTTAAGATAGTTTTCTATAATCAATTTGGACCGTTGGATGAAAAATGTTTAGATTGTAATTTTGGAAAATTCGAAGGGAAAAGTTGGTAACTACTAACTCATTGGTTTATTTTTGACAATTGGATGAAAAAATTGACATGTGGAAAGTTATGGAGCCTTGGATTTCAAGGGTAAAATGGTCATTTTACAATAAATGGATTTTTAATTAATTTTTAACGTTAAAAGATGATAAATATGCTTACATATTTATTTGGAAATTTCAAGAATTTTTGCTCATCTCCTTCAAGTTTGGTTGTGTACTTCAAGGTAAGGGCAAAAATACTTTCTTTTGTTTTTTCAAGCCAATTTATTTGGAATTTGGATGAAAAGATGAAATGGAAAATTGTTCTACATGAAATTCTCTATCATTTGGTACCATTATTTCATGTTTTCCATGCTTAGAACATTTAATTCTTAACATTGATGGATGAAGGGGATGTTAGGAATTGATGAACTAAGGCTTGATTATGGTGTAGATGTCACACCCTAATATGGGGTTAGATTTCTTTAAGTTTAAATTTGTGAAATGATATGAAGTTAGTTGGCAAATAATTATTTTATCATATCTTTATATTATTAAACAAATTGATGAGGATAGAGTAGGTAAAAGAGTACAAGTTGTTGGGTGGATTAGATTAATAATAATGACATTGTCTGGAACCTTATCGTTACCCTCACCACTCAAAATTCCAGCCTGTATAGCAGCTTCATAAGGAACAACTTCATCGGGGTTAACTTGGATCCTTCTCTACTACCTGAATCAAGATTCGAGTTTGGGCAGCATTGATTTCATTGAAGATGAACCTGTTCTACTGTCACAAGTCAAGGTTAGACAAGAATATGAGATTGACCTCACTACTTTTACTGGGCTATACCGATATCGACTAGAGGATGTGGTGGAAATGAGCGGATTTCACAACAGGACATCAAAGCAGAATTTTATATGTAGGAAGAAGCTAATATGGGCTGTTAACATCGACAAAAACACCGAAAAGAACCTTCAGTTAGTGGTCGAGAGAGGGTCCGAGCTGTTAAGCAATCACCGAGCCGAGTTCGTCGATTTCACGAGCAGTGCCGAAGTCATGCGTAAGCCGGAACAGTAACAAACGTTTTTAATAGTTGACCCAAGATAAGCCTCGTCAATCTCTTTAATCTTCGTCAGGACCATGGAGCAGAAAAAGGTTGAAGAATATGCAAAGAAAGGAGATGAATCTAAAGGGGAATCTGCTCAATAACCTCAAGAGGTTATCTTGAAAGTTTACATGCACGGTGAAGCTTGTGCTCAAGAGATCAAGAAACATATCAAAAGAATGAAAGGAAGGTCTTGTTCAGACCTCGTATGGCGTTGGATCTGGATCAGGCACGAGACAAAACGGTGAGATAAGGAATTGAATCAGACTCGCGGAACGATTGACTGACATATTCGTTGATGAAAATGATGTGGATTTGTTGCTTCAATAGAGCGATAGAGATGATAGGGGTTCTTCAATGGTTACAAGCTTTAGATATGCAATTAATCGACGATTGTTGAACCGATGAGAGGCTAAAACCTTTGTTGAAAGTCAATGTATCAAACGACATCGCCGAGGATCGATTATTAGCTCATTTGAGTCGGTGCTTTGAGCCATCGGAAATTGGTATACTGGGGAGGTATTCTTGCATTCCATTGGTTTCAGTTTGAGTATGTGATAAAATGAGGAAGGCGAAATTACTAGGTTAGTCATCCAAGTTTGTTTAAAAAAAACTTAATCTTATCTTTTAGCTTTCGTATTATTATGATTATGGCATAATGGTTTAAATAAGAATAATTTAGTCCATGGTGTTAGTAATTAAATATTATTAGCTCTTCAAGTTTTTAGTTTTGCAAATTGAGTCCCCAAATTATTAATTAGATTCTAATAATTTATTTTTATGGAAAGGAAAATTATTTGAAGTCGTATTTGTACGGTGGATGGTCCGTGTTCATGAGAAAAAGATGGAAGTTAGAAACCAAGTTGGTGAGATTAAATTTAAGAGTCATATTTTCGGTTTTGTTGACGTCCTGAATCTGAATCTGAAGTTTGTTTCGTCAAATTCAAACTCGGTAAGCTATTTTTGACTGATTTATCACCCGATTCGATCCGTTTTTCGGAATTAAGCTCAGTTTTTTTTTGGTAATTTCTATTGATATGCATCTGAGGAATTATTGGAAGTTGATTTCAAGATCGAGGGCGTTCAAATGGAAATTAATGGTCGATCAGTATGGCACAAAAATCGAGGTAATACTTTACTACCTCTTTATGCTTTATGGAACATGTTGATATTGGTAAATGCATGAATAAGATAACGTTGGTCACTTTTGTGGTTGAATAATTTATTCACTCGATATGAATGTGGTAGAAATTCTGTAACTGAATACGATCGAATGACTAATATAAGAGAGAGAGTTAATTAAATTACAAGTTTGTGATAAGTGATAAGAAATCAGCCCTGGATTTGTAACTTATTTTATATCATTAAAGGTTAAATGTTAAAGGTACTTATATGAGAAATTATGAGAATATTTCGATTAGGTAAAATTACGAAATTACCCTTATGTTGGAAAATGACAAAAATTGTCCCTGGAAGTGGATTAGTAAATCTGAAAAGACATATTGATCTAATAAATTTATTAATGTGCATAAGAAATGTTAGTTTTACTTGGAAATTATGGATAACCGGTTTTAACCTCAATAGGGATTTTGCAAGATACTAGAAGTCTGTTAAGGAATCATTTCAAGATCAGAGAATGTTCTAGGAAACAACTAACCATAGGATCTTTAAATTATAAGTATGCTCGTTAAGAGTTAATACCGAAATCATCTTGTTAAAAAATTACAAAAATGCCCTTAAATGGTAAAAATAGCTCGAGTTGACCCTGAATGAGAAAGTTCTTGGAGGATTTGTACTTAACTCAATGAATTACGTATTTAATTGTTAAGATCCTGTCTTTGTACATAAAATTTCTGATAACCTATTGGTAACATCTGAGAAGACAATCGATCTGAAAATCTTTGAGTTAAGAATAAATTATCGAGGGTGCTCTTTTGTAAGAATTATTTGAAAGGTCTGGAATAAATGATAAGTTGGAATTAAATAATAAGACAGAATTGAAGGAAAGAATTGAAATACACCGGATCTGTAAAATGATCAGAATACCCCTGTAATGAAAAAGACTCAAGAATATTACCAA